ACCCCTCCCAGGAGTCTCCACACAGCCCATTCACCATGCAAAGTAAGTACAGGGCCAGTGCGGAGGCTCGGGGAGGGTGAAAAACGGGCGTACTGGAGGTTCCGGAAGTCTGGAAACAGTCCGTTTCCAGCCTCCGGAGCCTGGGGGAAGCAGTTTTCGCTCTCCCGGAGGCTCAAAGAAAGTCTCCAAAGCCTGGGGAGGGCAAAAATGCCCCCCCACACCATGGTGCTGGAGGTTGACTAGGTCACGCTTACTATGGCCATGGCCACCCAGCAATGGGGCAGCGAACCCGTTGCTGGAACTTTTGAAGCCCACCCCTGACTACAATAGACTTCTAACAAAACTGTATCTTTCCCAATGAATGGAGCCAATGATCCTTTTTACTTAGAGGTTTAATTTGTGGCAGGTCTGCCTCCCTAACCTTTCCGCCGTCAGCTACATACCCTTGGCCTGGGCAAAAGTCTTCACCAGCTGAGTAGTCTCCTCTTGTATGTGCTCTTCCAGACTCTTTTTCATGTCTCCCAATTTCTGAAGGGTCATATTTCCAAACTGTCTCTGCTGCCTCCAAGTTTTTCCATTGGAAAACATGATGCCTACAGAAAACATGAACCGTTAGGGTGCTTTATTAGAAATGTATTATTATTTTTACTAGAGACATATTCCACTTTACATTCAGGAAATCGTGGCTGTATACAACACAGCCTCTCCTCCATGTTTCCCCACAGCAACCAGCCTGAAAGGTAAGTTGGGCTGACAGTGATTGGCTCAAAATCACACAGTGAGATTCAGTGGTTGAACCGTCGAGGGTAGGTGAGAACCTGAATCTCCTAGGTCCTTTCAACCGCAACATCTGATCGGATCTCAGTAATGGTGATCTCGAAAATGAGCCAGCAGTGTGCAGCAGCAACTAAAAAAGCTAATGCAATCCTGGATTGTATAAACAGAGGCATAGAATCAAGATCACACAAAGTATTACCGCTTTACAAAACCCTAGTGAGGCCACACCTGGAATACCACAACCAATTTTGATCACCATACTACAAAAAAGATGTTGAAACTTTGGGAAAAGTTCAGAGAGGAGCAACTAAGATTATCAAAGGCCCAGAGACTAAAACATACGAATGGCTACAGGATTTGGATTTGGCTAGTCTAAGGAATAGAAGAATGACAGCAGTATTCCAGTATTTGAGTGGCTGCCACAAAGAAGAGAGGGTCATATTATTCTACAGAGAGCAGGAGAAAAAGCAATGGTTGGAAACTAATCAAAGAGAGAAGCAAGCTGGAACTAAGGAGTAACGTCTTAACAGTGAGGACAACTAACCAGTGGAACAGCTTGCCTCCAGAAATCATGGGAGCTTCATCACTAGAGGTTTTGAAGAAGAGTAGAGTAGACAGTCACTTATCTGAAATACTATAGGTTTTCCTGCTTGAGCAGGGGGCTGGGCTAGAAGACGTCCAAGATCCCTTCCAGCTCTATTCCTATTCCTATTCCTATTCCTATTCCTATTCCTATTCCTATTCCTATTCTACTCTACTCT